GGTGGAAAAGGGGGAATGACAAAACTAGAAGCAATTCAGGGGAAAACTGTACACTGTCTTGTATTTCTTAATATAGAATTTGATCTTTGTATCTTCTAATGGTTCCTCACTACCCAACGATGACCAGGAAGTGATACAATTATATATACATTTTATAATAACTCTACAGTCATGTAGAAGTTAGATTCAAGGAGTTGAGAGTAAAGCCAGGAAGAAGCCTAAGAGGTCCCTGCAGTTAAACAAGATGGACCAAATGGCTGAATTAGAAGAGTAGCAAAGAGTTTGGAAATGAGGAGATGGATGTGGGTGCTGACGTGACCTCGATGTTTATGCAGGGTGTGTGCTTCATTCTACGCTGGTGCCCGTCTTCTGTAGACAGTGTGTTTACTTTAACAGGGCTATTTAAAAGGGCATGACTGTATCTCTATTAATAATCAAAATTAAACAGACTGTTTCAACTTCAGGTCTACTTGAGGATCTATATGCAGAACAAACTAGGTATGTTTCAACAGTCATGGCATTCCTGCAGCTAGTAAAATAGAATTCTGAAGCATAAAAATTTTTAAGTCACTTTCCCAAGATCACTCAGCTAATAAGTGGCAGATTTGGAAATATAACCTAAGTTGTTGTGTTCTGCTAATTTATCTAATTTATCTAAATTAATCTAATTTATCATGTTCTTACTGTTAGTGGGAAATTTGTTCGTTAGAGTGCTATGTTCAGAGATTGGGTGTATGACTAACATGATAATATTAAATAAGTATACAAAGTCATGTTTGCTATGATTGTTTGGTTTTTTCCCATTATTGAGTCCTGCTCCCACTTCTCATCATCTTTATATACTACAAGGAAGACAGAGCAGTAGACAAAATTCACTTACCAGAGGAAAAAACTCCCACCTCGTGCAACAGTTCCAAACTTTCTGTCCAAGTTAGCTTATTACTCTCCAGGTTCAATTTATCATTTGAAGTCGATCAAGTTCACATCCGGCAGACAAAAGATTAAAAAGCAACCAGTTCTCCTGAATCCTCTCACTCCTGATTTCTGCATTGAGAAGTTTACCAATTGCTTCAGCAATGGCAGCTCCTATGGTGATTAGGGTTCTGCACAATTTTACCCACGATCACTGAGGGGAGCAAGGAGGCTAGTGTAGGCCCCACAAAATGTTTGAGTAGGACCCTAGGTGGCAATGTTTCAGCTTTCATTCTTGCTGCATGCACTGTGCTGGAACCTGATTCTCTAGGAGGGAAAATAGAAAAATTGCGATAAAGCATTCACCAAGGGGTGACATCGAGTAAAGATGTGAAGGAAGTTCAGAGATACACCATATGGGTGTTTTGGGTAATAGCATCACGGTAGAGAGGGCAAAGGCAAGGGACACAGGTCTTGATATAGAATGATTAGAGTGTTTAAGTAATAATATCTCTTCTTTCTCTGTAGCCACTTATTCTTCCTAGGACACTATTGCATAAGAAACTTGCTAAAGCATTCAGCTGAATATTCATTGGAAGGACTGGTTCTGAAACTGAAGCTCCAGTACTTTGGCCACCTGATGCAAAGAGCCAACTCATTGTAAAAGACTCTGATGCTGGGAAAGAGTGAAGGCAGAAAGAGAAGAGGACAACAGAGGATGAGATGGTTGGATGACATCGCCGACTCAACGGACATGAGTTTGAGCAAACTCCAGGAAATAGTGAAAGACCCTGAAGTCTGGCATTCTGCAGTCCATGGGGTCGCAGAGTAGGGCACGACTGAGTGACTGAACAACAACAAAGCATTCAGCACTGTTACCTGGTTAGTGGATGATTTCCTCATATTCTGATCCTGGGGCAATTGTATCTATGGTTTGGCATCTTCTTTCCTGGTTCCCTTTAACTTCCGGTTTTAACCAGTAATGTCACCACCATTGAGACATCCAGCCACCCTGGGGTCAAGTGCTTCTCCATAGTCCAAGCCTTTCTCTTTAGGAGCCCTTTGAGATGTGACACACTGCCTGGCAATAAAAATTAGAGATGCTTATCACAGTTAGAAAAGTTATGTCTCATTTCTCACAGATTAAAAACTTGGGAACAATAAAATTATAGTTTTGATATTTAAATTAGATAATGAATCTGAAATGCATCCTACATTGCCTGAAATATAGTAAGCACAGTAAATATCAATTTTCTGTTTTCTAATGAAACCTACCTTTCCTTCAATGTCCAGGTCTGTAACCTTCTACTGCTTTTTTTTCCCCTCTATATCAGGTCAGTGATGGGAGTTTCTAGAAAGATACTTAATTACTTATTTTCCTGGAGACTCATTACTCTTCTCTATACTTTTAGGGTTATATCTACTAGCTACACTGATGCATTGCTACTCTCAGGGTGCAGAAAAGACACCAAAGGAACACACAGAGGAGGTAGGTATTATTTTGATTCCCTAATGAATAATTAAATCAAGGTTATTTTTGTAAGTTTACTGGTTATGGATATAATATTTCTAAATTGGACCTCCCAGATTTTTTCCATTGTTTAACTATCTTCTTTTCTTTTTGATTTATGAGCTTTTCGTATATCCTGCACTTGAGTTCTTTTTTAGAAATACGCATTGCACATATAGTCTACCAGTCTGGAATTGACTTTCTACCCTCATGGCAGTTATTTTTTTTAAGTAAAGACTATTTAAAAATACACTTTCATGTTCATAAGAAGCTAGCTTGAAAGTTTTGTTTGTTTTCTCTAAGAACTGTAGAACTGCTTTCTTTTGGTGACTGCTATTGCTTCCGATAAGAAAACAGGTATCATTCAAATGATGGTTCCCAGAATACAATATAGAACTTTTCCCCGGATATTGGCAAGATTATTTCCACTTAAATAGACCCTGGGATTCTTCTTCAATGCCTTGCAAACTTCTGCCAAAACCATGATGTCCCATTTGCAGAATTCCTTATTCATCCTTATGGCATTTCACATAACATTGCTCTTGATTAAGGACCTTGTTGTAGAGGAAGTCAATACAGCAGTGAGTGGAGGTGCCTCCTATAAGCAAATAGGTTATGGAATGGGTAACGGAAGTAGTTATAAATACCTGCGACAATTATCTGGTCATTTTCAGTAACAAAAACATAAAATGTTATTAATGTTTTTCATTTTGATATGAACATATTCACACATACATTAATTATTTTTAAATCCCCTGTCTCATTTGCTTGCCTGTAGTAACATAAAATGTGCTAATATAAGTTAATCTTATATCTCATTGTATCTCAGTTATTAAGATACAGGTTTCAATGCAAGAGTTTGATTCAGCTAGAAGAGGAAAGAACATCAGCCAATAAATGGATAAATGAACTTGGTATAATTTTGCAGAAGAGAGTTAACTTATACCGGTTGAATGAGGAATTATTGCAGCAGGAAGAATAGTTTTCCTGTTGACTTCATGACAAAGTTGTGTTGTTAAAAGAGGTACTGTTGGATGCCTAGTTAACAAATCAATTAAATAGTTAAGCTAGTGCAGTAAGTTTGTACTGCCCCAACCTAACTATCTAGAAATCTATTTGGAAGGTACTTGTCATGAAGTAGCCATATTTTTATATTCTGCTGTTTGGTGCAGAGCTCCAGGCCCTGTGGCAACTCACACATGTTGCTGCTGATCAACTACATCATCTTATTGATGACACACAACTCTTCCACCTCCCAGCAGATCTCCAAATCTTCTGTTCATCTCGGGCCAAGTCTGCATGTAGCATAACAGCAAGTGACACTCTTCTCCTCAAGGTCACTCGTTCTTGTGAGACACTAAAGGAGGTGAGAGACAAGTTTTAGTGTGTTATGCAGGTTCCATTATCCTCGTGGTTCTAGTACGTCCTTATGAGTCACAGTTTGTCCATGATTTTGTCTGCACCCACTTTCCCTCACAAATATTACTCTAGCTGGATAACAGTGAATTCGGTCTCAACACCAGATGCAAAGATAACAGCTTTGTATGGACTCCTCCAGCTCTAGCAATTGCCTGAGTTCTCATCTCGATAACTGATCTCTTATTCGACACCACTAGTGGTTCTGCTTTTCTGATTGTAGCTTCAGTGACACAGAGTCTAAGAGGAAAGGACTAAGGAAATGATTTTCATGATGATTCTGGATAACTAGACCCATGTTTGTCATGTGAGGGTCTTTAGGTGAAGCTGCCACTTTGATGTATTATGGGGCAAGTATTCAACTTTAGACAATGCATGTTCTGTATGATTGTTTTAAAGTCAAAAATTCAAGACCGAGAATGTATTAGTAGAAAGTTACTCTGGACACCTGTTTCAAATAACATGGAAGGAGTTTTTGTTTAAAATTAAATCCTCTGATCCAGACCACAGATGAAGCAACCACAGGACCACCATTTCTTGTCTGAGGTCTGCAGGTGTGCATTTCAGCTGAGGTCTTGCAGCAGGGGGGCTCTCACTTATTAAGCTCTGGGGTTTTTGTATAGCTTTTCCCATTACTTCAAGCACTGTGAGTTCCCAGACTGCACAAAAGTACTTTGCGGAGTCTTCTAGCTCTAAGGCTGAAATGTTGAGGCTGATGGAGTTCTGTGCTCTCTGAAAGTTTACAGAGTAGCGGCCATTCCTTGCATCCCGGCCAGAAGATTCCTGACGAATAAGGAAAGTCATCTCTCCACTGGGAAGCTGCTTGTACCAAAAAAGGTAGTGCGTGTACTCACTCCTCCGTAGTTCATACTGACAGTTCAGAATGACAGATTGCCCTATTTGACTGGTTATGTATGGCTGGTCTTGAGTAACTTTCTGGGCCACACCAGATCCTGTGGAAAAAATCAGAAAACGGAGCTGAAGTAGTGAAGTAGTGAACAAAATAAATAGGAATTAGACTAATTTGAGATCCAAATTGAAATCATAATAAATATGCTCTTCTCCAACCCTCCTTTCTCCCCAAGTCCCTGTGAAGCACCACGTGCCTATGTGCAGTCCTTTCACCCTAAACACTCGCACCCATGTTTGAGAGCATCCCTACCAGAGAAGGTGAAGGCCAGGAACACCCAGAGCAGACTGGAGAGCGGCATGAGGCATGGATTCCCCTGCACAAATGTGCTCAGTTCTGCCTCAAGCTGAGAGTTCAGTGTCTTTGAGTGCCTGGCAGCACATATACATGCTACCCGGTACCTGCGTGACTCCCCCCAACAGGAAGTGGGGGTTGTCGTGTTCATAGACCACGTGGTCTGTGCACAGATGAGAAAAAGTCTGACTCACCACAGACCTTTATTTTGTATACTTTTCTTGCTCTGTTCATGAATTACCTGGTCATTAATGACCTATCTGAAAGGGGCCTGAAAAAAACAATTCTCATGAAAGGTTTGAGTTGAGCAGAACAGAAGAATAAGCAAGTTGACATACATTGGTAATTATTTAGCAGAATAACTTTACCAGCCCATTTAAAACATAATTTAGTATATGACATGAACCCTTCTTATAATCTATTTACTGGTCATCATTTAGCCTATGCCTACTCTCCTCCATCCAGAGTCTAATGACTCTTTTAAGAAGCTCAAAGACCTTCAGCTTTCTCAGTGAAAGGCAATCTTATCCAAATAGTTTATATATCTCTTGTTTACTGGACTCTAAGGTTCTAGTTAGGTTTTCCTGTACATAAGTTACTTCAAGATCAAACAATAACAAATCAGTCCTTCTGACTTTTGGAATCTATTCCATTATCTATGTTTTTATGAAATTATAACAGGTATAAAACACTTTTTATACAGCTTTTCCCATTACTTCAAGCACTGTGAGTTCCCAGACTGCACAAAAGTACTTTGTGGAGTCTTCCAGCTGTAAGGCTGACATTGAGTCTTACTTATTAGACATTGAGAAGGATCAGAACATTCAGACCTGCTGCCTCCCAAAGTGGAATCATACTTATTAGATCATGTGTCCTAGAGTTGTCCTCATGTCACATTTTCTATGTCATTGGCCCAAAGTGTTCAGCCTCACTTGTTAGTGGCTCATTATTTTTCTCTTTGTAAAATAAAATCAATAGAAGCATGCCAGATCTTTCTGTGACACAATGCTACAATGCACTCCTGCCAAACTTGGCATCTACAGGCTGCAGACACTTAGTACCTGTCAATACCACAGAAGCTGGTGACTGATGTTCTGCACACTGGTACAAGATCATGCAGAATGTAACTGTCAATCTTCCACCTGGTTTCATTGTTTTAATGGAAGAATTAACATAAAATAGTCAAAGGCAAATAGACAAGTAGAAAGGAATACAGACAAGTTCTCTAAAACAGTGCCAGTCCTTTAATTTTAGGACAAGAAAACTAGTGATGCAGGAATAAAAGTGTGTATTTAGTTGAGATGTCTACTCCTCTGTCTCATTTCACCTCGGAGTGCTGACAGGCAGCTGATGCCCTTGCAATTATTTATAACTAAGTAGAAGAGACCATGGATGCCCACAGCAACCTAGGCAGCAGCATGATAAAATGATATATATATGTGTGTGTATATGTATATTAACAGAATAATTACAGATATAAATATAAGGAAATTGATATTGATAAATTTTTATCAAAACATAGAACTTACTCTGATTCACCAGTTTTTACAGGCACTTTTCTGATGCATAACTCTATGAAATTTTATCACATGTGTGGGTTCTTGTAACTGTCACAGAAATCACAATACAGAACTGTCCCATCACTCTAAAAAATGTCCCTTTGCATACGTTCTCACCCCTGCAATCCCTGATCACCCCTGGCAACTACTGCTCTCCTTTTCATGTCTATATTTTTCCTTTTAAGAATGTCATGTAAGTAGAATCATACCTTATGTATGGAATCATTATGGATCATAATCATACTATCCAATAAGTGTTATACATCAAATAACCTTCTGAGATAGACCTTTTTCCACTCAGCATAACACTCTTGAGAACAATCTAGCTTATTGCAGTAGTCTGTTCCTTTTAATCACTACAGACTTTTCCCAACTAAGGATGGTTTGAGTTACGCTTATTGACTTTATGGTGATGAGAAAGCCATATGCATTCAGTTGAGAGCATACTTTGAATTTTGATCTTTTCCTGGGCTAGCACCATGCAGTACGATATTCTCAGGTGATCCTGGGAGTGAGCTCAGCCTCTAGTCAGCCCCAGAATCAGGAGCATAAACAACCTTTCTATTCCCATACAACCTTTCTGTTTTTCACTCTCAGCTCAGCAGTCAATAAATTACATGAGGTTTTTCTATACTTTACTATAAGATAAACTTTGCGTTAGATGATTTTTCCCAACTGTAAGTTAATGTAACTGTTGAGCATGTTTAAGCTAAGCTAGGCTAAACTAAGATGTTTGAAGGGTTAGATGTAGTAAATGCTTTCTTCTCCTTAATACAATATTTTCTACTTACAGTGGTTTATTAAAATGTTAACTCCATCATAAGTTGAGGAAGATCTGTAAATAATATGTCTATTTATTCATCAGTTTACCCGGTGAAGATGTTTGGGCAGTTTCCAGTTTGGGGCCATCACAAATAGAGCTACCATGAATATTCATCTACAGATTTTTGTATGAACATAAGTTTATTATTTCTCAAGCATTAATACCACAATTGTGATTGCTGAGTTGTAAGGAAAGTGGATAAAGCTTATGTGAAACTGATGTACCGTCTTCTAGAATGACTGTACCATTCACCCACCAGCAATGCATGAGTAATCCAATTTCTCTGCACCGTTTCCAAAACTTGGTATTATCAGTACTTTTAGTTTTAGCCTTTATGACAGATGTGGAGTGCTGTCTCATTGGGTCCCTAGTTTACATTCCCTAGCGGCTACTGATGTTGAACATTTGTTCATATACTTATTTATATGTTTTTATCCCTACTACATATCCCCGTTGGTAAAGCGCCTGTGTTAGTCTTTTGTTCATTTTTCAACTGGATTGTTTGTTTTCTTCCTATTGTGTTTAGGAGTCTATTGTATTCTGAATACCACTCTTTTGATGGAAATATAATCTGCAAACATTTCCTGCCATTCAGTGGTTTGTCTTTTTCATTCTTTTAATAATAACTTTCACAGAGCAACCGGTTTTAATTTTAATGAAATCTAAGTTTTTTTTATGGATTGTGCTTTTGGTATCATGTCAAAAATCCTTTTGCCTAACACTACGTTATCAGGATTTTCTCTTCTGGTTTCTTCTAAAATATTTATAGTCTTACATTTGAATGTATGATTCATTTTGAGACTGAATTCAAAGTTTTGTATAAGGTGTGAGATTTAGGCCAAGTTCCAATCATTTGCGTATAAATATCCAATTGTCCCAGTATCATTTGTTGATAAAATTGTCCTCTGTTCAATTGTCTTTGCACCTTTGTCAAAAAAATCAATTTTCCCCACTTGTGTGAGTTGACTTCTATACTGTTACCCAGTGACATAAACTTGCCAATGATTTTTAATTATCCTTTTAACATCTGTATTATGGTTTACTTTTTCATTCCTTATAGTCACAATTCATGTTTTTCTCTTTTTCCCTTGATACTTCTACCTCGAAACAGATCAATTTTATTAATCAGCTTTCTCCCTGTGTGAGTCTACTTCTACAGTGTTACCCAGAGGCATAAATTTATTAACAATATTGTTTTATTACCATTTTCACACTGCAGAATCTGCATATGATTTTCTCATGTGTATAATTCATGTTTTCTTTTATTATATTGATAATTCCCTTGATAATTCTAGCTAGGAATAGATCAATGTTATTTATCATTTTAAGAAAACTAACTATATTTAATGGTCATTTCTATTGTTTGTTTTAGAGTTCACCAATCTGAATTTTTAAGTTTATCCTTCTTTTAGATTATATTGAGTTTTATTTGTTCTTTTTCTCTTCTTTTGTTGAAAGGTTTTAATAGTCATTCTAATTGCTTCTTAAACATACCTATGAGTTGTTTTAAATTTAGTGCCTAAATTCCAAATGTTTGGGAGTTTCTAGAGACATTTTTTCACAATTGATTTTCTATATCCATTCCATTTTGGTGAAAGAATAAATTCTGTATAATTTCAGTTTTCTATTAAGACTTCTTATGCACAAGCATGTATATGTGTATATTTCATCTGCACTTCAGGGTGTGTCTGGCGCCTTGGCTGCAGATTTGGGTACAGGCTGCAGGTGCCTGGGGAGCACTGTGCACTTGCCCCACAGCAGTAGGCAACTGAGTCTTCAGGCTGGGAAGTTGCGATGTGCAATGAGAGCAGTTTGGCACTCTTATTGAGGGAAACTGTGAGTCTTCCATCTTCCATTTCATTCACAACTGAACGTATGACTATCAAGAATGCAGGCCCTTTACCAGAGTATTGCTGGTACCACAGGAAGTAGTCAAATGCACTCTTCTCATAACTACAGTTCAGAATGGAAATCTCTCCTTCTTGAACTGTCAGAGATTGAGGTCTCTGTTTCACCTGCTCTTGGTCACTTTTTTCCTTCTGTTGTCCACTCACCCCTGCTTAAAAAGATAAAAAGTCATTAGGTCCACAAACTGGTATTTCCTTCGTAAAGTTTCTATCTGATGAATTTGTCCATACTCCAATTTTCTCACTCCCCCAAATTAATGAGATATCCTAGGGTTTCTCCATCATAACTCACAGTTTACTTGAAGACACAGAATTAAGAATGATGCGTCCAGCATCTTGTCCATTGTTCCTGGCACCAAAGTTCAATGACAGCTCAGGTCCTTCTCATGGTCTCCTCAGCCAGCTAGAACTCTGACTTAAGGTTCACATCAGCTTTAATTCTTTCAAGAGGCCCCGCCTTCTCACAAGTACTTTCAACTAAAGCTATTTTTTTTCAAAGCAAGCACTTCTCAATTTTCTCTATCTTAGACTTGCTCAAAATTACTTTCAATGAAAAGCAGAAATCCCCTCCTTACACATGGAATATGCTTAGTTTAGAATTTGTCTCCCCCATTCCTCAGCTTCTTTTTCTTCATGTTTCCAAGAAGGTTAAAAATCATGTATCAGGACAACTTGATATCTTAACAGATTACATTATTTCACAATGGAGAAGAGAGGGATTCCCATGAAATCACAAAATGAGCATTTCTCTTTTTCTAATTACAAGTACAAATTAAAGTTTATTGAAGATATCAGTTCATTTTAGTCACTCAGTCATGTACGACTCTTGGCGAACCCATGGACTGCAGCACACCAGGTCTTCCTGTGCATTACCAACTTCCAGAGTTCACTCAAACTCATGTCCACTGAGTTGGTGATGGCATCCAACCATCTCATTCTCTGTCGTCCCCTTCTTCTCCTGCCTTTCATCTTTCCAGGCATCAGTATTTTCCATTGAGTCAGGTGGCATCAGGTGGCAGAAGTTTTGGAATTTCAGCTTCAACATCAGTGCTTCCAATGAATATTCAGGACTGATTTCCTTTAGAATGGACTGGTTGGATCTCATTGCAGTCTAAGGGACTGTCAAGAGTCTTCTCCAACACCACAGTTCAAAAGAATCAATTCCTCAGCACTCAGCTTTCTTTATAGTCCAACTCTCACATCCATACATGACTACTGGAATAACCATAGCTTTGACTAGATGGGCCTTTATTGGCAAAGCAGTGTCTCTGCCTTTTAAAATGCTGTCTAGGTTGGTCATAACTTTTCTTCCAAGGAGCAAGCGTCTTTTAATTTCATGGCTTCAGTCACCATCTGCAGTGATTTTGGAGCCCCCAAAAATAAAGTCTGCCACTGTTTCCACTGTTTCCCCATCTATTTGCCCCATCTATTTGTAAAGTTAAAATAAATAAGGAGCATATGTTTTTGAAGCCCAGCATTTTGTCTCTGTATTTGATGTCATCTCAAATTCAAAGAAAACATCGTTACAGTCCAACAGGAGAAATAATAAAAGTTCTCATTCCTCAGTCGAATCCCATCTACCCCATCATTCTAAGGGGAACTTTTATTGCTTGTTAGACTTCTGATATATTTTATTTTCCATTTATTCATTCATGAATGCATCTCAATATATATTTAATGAGTGCTGCTAAGTGACTACTTAATATTCAATACTTGGGTCTCAAGAAGGAAAGAGACAGTTCCCATCTTCAGTCAACTGAGGCCCAATACTCAAGTACAATCAGATAAAATCTACTAAGGAGAGATGTGTATCTCTAAGATATGACAAAGAAAAAAGTAATAAACTCTGCTTCTCAACTCAAC